CTTTTTGAAAGCAGACTCAACCAGTCTGTATTCTTGTAATTACTTTCCCTCTTCATTCATACCCCCAGACCTACGTGGCTATATTCGAGAACATTCCCGATACGAACGTAGCGACGCTGATCCTGTCTGTGATCTGCATGATCATCTTGTACATCGTCAAGGTCCACGTGAACATGCGATACAAAACCAAGCTCAAGATGCCTGTGCCTATTGAGCTCATTGTGGTGAGTAAAGAAAATGCGTGGCATCGTGGTGAATTCAGTCGCTCGTCAAATAAACGGAATCTAAGAAACTGACATTAATTTTTTTTTTTCAGCTCGTTTCGCAATTTTTACCGAATTCAACACCTTTTATGTCCACTTAAGAACATATTTCTTGTGTCTTTTTTCTGAAAATTGTTGATAAAAGGCACACAAGAGTAAATTTGCAGCTTCTAAAGACAGTCGAACGTTGGATGTCACCTAACATTGGCGGCTGTTTTCTCGCAAATTTTAGCCCTGACATCAGATGACAACCCCACCCCCCCTGCTCCCCTCCTTTAAAGGCAAATGTCTCGACTTCTGTCTGTTCAGGATAAATGGATACTTTTTCATCAAAACGAAACAAATAAGTAAGCTTTAATTGAAACGAATAACAGTATGTGACATCAAAATGACGAGCGCCTGATTCCACAAATATTGGAAATTGAAAGTTTGATTCCCAATTAATGCATCTTGAGATTGGCCCCTAAGGTAGGAATCGAACAACACCAGAAATGCCAAATTGTGTCCCTATTCTTCCTCAAAGAATATCACGATCTATAGTGTCGACTGTTCAGAAATGTCCCTTTTGGGTTTTAGGACGTATGTCACACTGCTCATCCTTTGATCACAACGGCTAATTGTAAAATTTCTACAACCGTTTCATGCAATTTAGAGGACATTTATTGAGAATATTAGGGTTCAAGGCAAGAGGAAGACCAAGGAAGACCTGTATTGGTGGTTTGAAGGATACCCTGAAGTCTCACGACATACCAGCCAGCCAGGCCATCGAGCTTGCTAGAGGCCGAAAGCTCTTTCTCCCCTCGACGCCCAACCTAGGTGGTACAAAAGGAAGGGTAAAGTAAAGTAAAGTAAAGTAAAGTAAAGTAAAGTAAAGTACAGTAAAGTAAAGTAAAGTACAGTAAAGTACAG